ACAGAAAGGAAATTTTAAAGGAGACAGTAATATTGACCTAGGCTTATGTGCTTAGAGAACATTTTGATAGGAAGCAATACAGAGGGAACTTTGCCAAAAAATACAAAGATGAAGAGCTTGCTCATGTGTCATTAATCTATTTATTCAATTATTCATTTAATAATATTCAACAAATATCTATTGGATGGTTACCACTTTAGTGTTAATCGTTGTAATGGCATTACATACACTCAAAAAAACTATTCAGTTTCTGTATCAATAGGTCTTTGGACATAAGCACATCAGTTTGAACTGCAGGTATATGTTTAAAAAACATGGCAAATTTCTTAAAATGTGCTATCAGCTGATAGATGTCTTCTAGGATGTATTAATGAGAGCTACCCTCATTAATTATCAAGGGACATTAAAAATAAATAGGCAATTAACATTTCAGATAAAATTAAGACAAAACACTTGTATAGAAATTTTATATGACATTGATAAGATGCAATATAAACCTAACATGTCTTAACATGATTGCTATTTCTATAAAGAAAAATGTTTTATTGACAGCCTACAGATGTTCTGAAGTTTTGAAAGAGAACTTTTATTTAGAAATTATATCTCATGACTATTTAAAGAAAAATTTATAACCTTGAATTTTATTCATGAAAATAGAATTTTTACTCCCTTCCACATATAGCATATTTATATTCATGAGTAAAAAAGAAAATAATTTTGATAACAACCTTCTTGAGGTGAGTGGCTTATTTCCTGTGTTTCAAAACTGATAGAGCTTCAGTTAGAGAGTATCGTTTCAAATTCTAGATTCATAATGGGTTTGTTTATGTTCTGATGTTACATTGTTTGAAAAATTAAAGAAATAGCTGTAAGAATCCAATGAATTTATGAATCTTGTTAAAAGTTTACTAATTTTATCTTAGAAACTGTAAGAATTAAATAAAAAGAATATTGGCTTTAGAATCAAGTAGACATGGGTTCAAATCCTGACTCTACTACAAAACAGCTGTGTGATTTTTTAGAAATTCAATCATTTCATGATGATGATTTATTTAAAAGGTAGTAATACTACTTCGATATTAAATAGATGTGAAGATAAATATGAGAAAAAGTTTTTTTTTTAAGCTCCTAGCATAATGTCTGGCATACATTAAGTACCTATAAATATTGGCCCCTTCCTTTTTTCTTTTCTTTTTTTTTTTTTCCCATGATAGCTCCTGTTTTTCTGTCTTAAGTAAATTTTAATGATCGATGGTATTTGTTCAAGCAAATTGCTTATGGGGACTTTTTCAACATATTTTAAATATAGTAAACTACAAGCAGAATATAATGAATACGTATTTGATTCACATTTCATTGCACTTGCCATTTCTCAAAAAGAATGCAGTGTGCTAGATAAAGTTATCAAGGCATATTTTTAAATTAATGTTTTAATTAACATTTCTAATTTTATGTGTAAAGCTATCCATATGTCTGTCATCTGTTGCCTCTCAAGAAGCCATTATTCTATGACACTGCTATATTTCAAAGGAAACATTTTTTAAAAAGATACAAAACATACACTAATATTAATAGGATATCATCTACAGTTTGATTACAAGAGCAGATCAAGAACCGAAACTATTATCTCTCCTTTATTTCCTATTTAAGTAAAACTGAACTAAGAAGTATCATTGAGATTTAAAAAAAATGTTTTTAAAAAAATAGATCAGTTCATTTACCAAGCAGTTCAAGAAACAAAGTAGCTTTAAACTGATAGATTTTCAATTCATGTGCCTTCAGTTTTCAGGTTTATAGAGGAATGGTTTTATTTCCTAAATGTGTTCTCATCAAGAGTTATTTTGGTAGTACTAATGTTTTCAGAGACCAGGTCTATATTTGTGCTGATTAAAAAAATATAGCCTTGATATTATATCCCTGATCAAAATATTCTCAAGTCTCTTAAAATATTCAGCGCTCAGCATACTTGGGAGGATTAGCGCATTAAGGGGAGAAAAGTGTTCTAAAGCAATTTTTTATTACAACTAGATAGAAGTAAATGTCCAATTGAAGTTGGCTTGAATTTACCAGTTTTAATGTTTATTTAGTGTGGGGAGGTAAGGGGGCATAAATTAGATGAAGAGACATGTTTTAATTTTGATCTGTCTCCTCAATCTCACTTTTAATGGGTTTTCCATAGATATTAAATAGGTGAACAACACTGACTTCTAGTTAGTCCAGATAGGACAATGTAGACAGTCAAGATGTACATTAGAATCTGATCTTGTATGATGTTTGCTGATGATGATTTTGGAAAAGGAAAATTCAGAGTTTATTATATTTCTCTTCCGTTAGTTTGTTTTTAAAAAATGAAACAATCACATTTAATAAGAAAATATTTGGTCCACAGTTTTACTGTCCTAGCTACTGTCTAACATTGCTTGTGTATCTATCCTGATTTACAAAATCCTTCATCTGTTTAGCACTGATATTCACATGAATAAATATCGAACAAATTTGTGCATATCTTTATTTTTGTTACAATATATGCAACAATTAGAAAGGCAGATTAATTCACTTTTCAGCTCCTAAATATAATGTTGATAATCTGAATCACCATCAATTATCCTGGCAATGAAACATGCAGGTGTAAAAACATAACAATATTTTCAACAACACATTTGTGAAAATATCTTTTAATTCGGTAGGATTAATTAGTAAATCCTAAGGGTTTGACATAAATTGAATCATGTTAATAATAGGGCATAAGTTAAAAAGTTTAAAATGTGTGTACTAAACAAGAGATTCAGATTTCCCCTAATCAGAAAGAATGAAAGCAATGTTTCTGGTGTTTCCTATTTATGTAAAGTTTGAATTATAAGGTTATTTTACATGGAAAGTTATTTGCTCTCTTACTATTTTAATAATGACATGGGCATAAAATTAATATAGAACTTTAATTTTCACATAGCTTCCTCTTTGCATTTTGATCTTGACCTTCTGGGAATAGCTTCAACAGAGAAATAAACAATATAAAAAATACAAAATTTTAAAGGTTATAAGTCATGGAAATGTATTCCACTTCTTAAAAATCTTTGAGAACACCATTAAGCAAGTAAATTGAAACTTGTCTTATTTTTCAATAGCTGAGATTTTTAGAAACATTGTCAACGTTTGACACCTTTAACTAAAGAAATAAGTTTCTTGTATTTGTGGAGCTTAGATACTTTATGCTTTGATGAATGCCCGCATTCAAGTTCTTACTTAAGAGGAAGAACTTTTCTACATTTGCAATTACAAATTTTCACACTATGCCTTATATTAAATGTCAATCTATCTGACTTTATATTTATTGACTCAATGAGTATTAAGCACCTCTTATGTCTCTTTGACCTATTAGTATTTCTCTTTGTGCATCACTTTCTTGGCATAAATCTGTCAGCTCTTCACTCCTCAACCACAAGTTTAGCAGAGCGGTTGAACTCTGACTAGAGCTCTACTGAAAGGCTCTCCAGCTTCATGGTTTCTTATTCAAAAAATGTAAGAGCATTTTTTTCTTTCTTTCTCACTGTACTAAGATTTACTAATCTAAGACATTTTCATAAAATACTTTGATAAACTCATTTAACATCTACTGATTTGCTGATTTGCATTAAGTGCATTAATTCATATAGTTTTTAAGTGTTTGACAAAGTCCTATTAAATTTTTGTTCTAAATCTGAAGTACTAGTCATCCCTATATCCTATCAATTTTTTGCCTTAAATATTTAAGGGGTAGGATGTTTCCTGGTCTATTGTCAAATAGAATTAGGCATTACAAATATTACAAATGTAGGATTAAATAGCAATTATAATACAGTGATGACAATTTCAGTGTTTTAACATATCCACTCTTACTCTCGTTAACTCAAGGTTTCACTTAATAATAATAGTAAAAAACTCTAGCTAACCATTTTTCTTAAAGAATTTGCAATATGTTTTGTGTTATGATTACCATGATAGGAAAGCCAAAAATGATAGGAAACCTAAAACATTTCTCTCTCTTTTTTTTTTTTTTAGTTTTATAAGTCTGTTCTAAATTTCTTTTTAATAAAACAAGTAAACATTGCTTCTGCCTCCTCTCACTCCTTTGGCTTGGTGCTTACTCAGTCAGCAACCTGCTGCATTTTATAGGTGTGGAATTTAATTGGGAAAAGTTCCCTAAAAAAAATCATGTGAACAGGAATACAACATAGTGGATACAACATCATGGATACAGACAAGATAAGTGATCCCTTTTCTCCGTCTTTCTCAAACCCTCCATCCCCTTCCAGCATTCTCTAGTAACTAGTAAGAAAAGGCAGCTGACTTCACAGCTGGAATAAGTTGTGCTGTGAATCCCAGTGATTTACTCAAGAAGTAAACAGGGTCAAGTGGAATTGGTTGCCAAGCAAACTAGGAATCCCTAGCCTGGGTCCAGCGACACGGATAAAAGTGTTTCTGTTTCTTGATAGATAATGAAAATGATGCAGAGTGTAATTGATTGACAGGGTATTGATCACTATCCTTTCTTCATTCCCCCAATTCAGGCATCAGAGAGTCTAGGGTTCACTTATATACGCCCAGCGGCCACCAAGACCTCCATTTTCTCCCAATGCATAAAAGGCTAAAAACAGCCTTCCTCCACAGCACTGTGGCATGCCTGCAGCTGCTTTGTTTACCATATTAGTCACACCCGGGGCTCACTCCTCGCCCTCTCCCCTGCTTTTAAGCCTGGTGCGGTGGGAAGCTGAGAAGCATCCCCAAAACTCCTGCTCAGCCCAGGTCTACCACAGAAAGCGTCACAAATCCGGTCTCGAGTTTTAAAGAGAAACAATGCAGAGGGAGCTTTTTGAACTCGTAACCCCCCAGGAATGTCCGTCCGCTTCCCCAGAGAGAGCCGGCTTCCCAGGCAGCTTGAGAAACTTAACCGAGATCCCAGAAAGGAGGCGAGGTGAAGCTCCGGTCAAATGGAGCTCTGTCTGAGGCGACACCCTTTTTACCTGCAAAGTTGCAATCTCCTCGCTGAAGAGGGATCGATCCAAGGACTGGCTGAACGGTTGCTATGCCCGCTGAGAGCACGCCTCGCAAATTCCAATGAGATTTCCTTAGTCGCTACAGAGTTTCGAAGCATTCCATGGAAAATGCACGAAGCTGGAGCCCACGCAGATGGCACCGAACTGGGCGGAGAGAGGATGTTCTGAGAGCGATGCCATAGGAGGCGGGGGAGGGGCAGTCCTGGAGGGGGTGGTGAGCGCCAGAGGAGGAGAACTCTCCCACCCCCTCCCCCACGAATCCCTCCAGGTAAAGTTAGCGTTCCCACGGATGACAACAGATGAGTCCGGAGGAAGGAATCCAGCCCTCGGTACCTGATGACTGCCTGGCCCGGGTCCGCACAAACCCAGCTTGGAAGGGACAGTCTCTGAAGATGAGTGTCCAAAGCACGTCTCTGTGTGGCAGTGGCGGGGACCCGCGCACAGGCAGTCCGGGCTGGGCTGCCACGGAATAGCCCCGGGCCTCCTTGGGCCAAGTGCTTGAGGTCAGCCACTTGGGCAAGTGAGCTTACCACAAGCCAGAAGATATCCAGGCAAATTAATGGCCAGATCGCCTCTGTGGTCCTAGATGCAAGCCAGACACATTTCCAGACTTCGGCGGCTCTGCAGGGATGTCCGACTTCAGTTCGTGCCAGGACTTGGCTCCTGAACGCCCTGCTCCCACCCCAGTAAACAAGCACCCAGGCGGCTGGTCGCCCGACTTGAAAAAGTAACCCTTACCTGCACTCAGCAACTCTCAAACCTTCTCTCACTTCCTCTTCTCTGGGCTCGCGTACCCCGTCTCCAGGCCTCAAGGTGTCAGACTTCCCAAGCAAGAGCAGGACTATGCGGCTTGTCACTAGTAATAACAATCGAGACAGTCGCAATGAAGAAACACACTGAAGAAGAAACGCAGTGAAGCACAGCGTTCCACCCCCACCCAGCTCGGCCTTTCCAACAAGCGTAGGAAACCAGTAAGTTTCCTAATATTAAATAAAACCCAAATTGCGCGCAAGCCTAGGAGCGCGAGAATCAATCGCTTCAGGTGGTGTTTGTGTGAATATGAATATGTGTTTGGGGGTGGGGGTGGGGGGGAGAGAGAGAGAGAGAGAGAGAGAAGAGAGAGAGATAAAAAGAGAGATAGAGAGAGAGAGAAAGAGAGAGAGAGAGAGAGAGAGAGAGAGAGAGAGAGAGAGAGAGAGAGAGAGAATGAGAATTGAGAAAGATACTCGCAACAGCGTACTGAAATTTCAGGATAAAAGTTAGCTCCTAGGCAATCTCTTTGGTGTTCACACAGTAAAATAAAATTAAAGTGCGGAGATTGGCAAAGTTGGCACTAACTTACTTGATGTAACTGCAACGCGGTGATTCCCAGGTTTTCACTCGTGGAAGCTTTGTTGGTCTACACCTCATGACTTGAAAGTATATTTATATAATAGAGAGTATTGTCAGTGTGGAATCTTAGCTAGCGATTATCCAATTTGAGAACCTTTGGTTTCTACTTGATTTCCTTTATTTTTTGAAAGTCCTGGGGTGCTGTTAGTCACCACTGGCATCTGAGCAAATGCCTGCTCCAGCTTCATGCTTGTGCAACAGATGAGTGACGACCCTTTTTCCCGTCGCAGCCACTTGTTGTTACACCTTCTGGGTATCAGTACTGTACAGACTGCAAGAAGGACCTGTTCCTTCCCAAGGAATATTCCTCCAAGGGATTCAAAAGTAGGCAGCAAGCGGGCACCCACACGCAGACTCCAGAGCTCAAAATTAAAGAATTTCCTTCCTGGTTATCTTTTCCTCCTTAGTTCACAGAAGTTGAGGGTTTTGTTTGTTTATTTGTGTTTGTGTTTGATTTTGGAGTATTTACATTAGTAAAGAAGATATCTTTAGAGATCACCCTCTGGCGTGATGTGCATGCTGCTTTTTTTTTCCCTTTAAGATCACTTTTCTTATTTCTAAATCTCTTTCTCTCTCCTCATGAGTTAATTTCAAGCCCAGCCTTGACCCTGGTTCTAAATTTCTAGAAGCCTACCTCTAGATCATCCTCTCCAAAATACTGAGAGACACTGAGACAAACCTGGTTCCTGTAATATCTCTCCAGAAAACGAAGGTGAGAGCAAAAAAAGTTTTTTCCCTAAATCTTTTTACTCTTTTCCACCAAAGTACATTAACATCTTTAAACGGTTTTTAAATTTTCTTAATGTTAAACGATGGCTTTATCACATATGCAGAAATACATCTATCTGTAGACAGGGTAATGAACTTTATAACAAATATAAGCCCACTTTCTAACAAGGGAGGGGGACAGTATATATGGAGATCTATTTTATGCAATGCAACTGTATCGTTATTATTATTTATTTTTACAAAATAACATATTCCCATTAATCACAGGTAATTAAAATGTTAATGCCTAAGAAACAAAAGTGAAGCTAACATTTATCGATGTAATGTTTTGTCTCACCCCGATAAACAAAGTTCTACATATTTTGTTTGAGTGTGTCTTTAAAAATAAACCTCTGATAGAATTCCACATATCAGGATGAGTGTATATCTTTATAATACATTTAAAAATACATTCAAAATAAAGTGGAACTGTGACAACATATACCTATCGATTAGAGATTAAGAACTTTACTTTGCAACCTTAGCATCTGTACCAAATTATATACCCCCTATATTCTTTTAGGATATGTTCTTTATAACAAATGCCATCTCTGTCATGATGTTGCTGATCTAATTTGTTATTTTTTTCCATAAGAAATGTGCTTGTGAATCTACAATAAATACACAACAGAAAGGAACAGTAAGGACAGCAATCTGAGTAGGCTGTTTCCATAGGGGAAAGAATGTTCTGTTGATCCCTGAGTCTCATTTTCAACAATTTCATGTGAGTATTGATTGCAAATCTTATACCATCTACTAAAATGATCAGCAATTACAGGAAAATTATTTGAAATTTATTTAAACAACATAGCAAACTGCATATACCACAGACATTAGCAAAGAAAAAGGAAGGTTTGTTTTTGTTTACAATTTTAAAATATAATTTTGGTATTATTTTACAAACTTGCACTTCACTTAAAATGCAATTCACTGAAGGCTAAGTAATTTACGAAAACTGTTGTATGCAGACTGGAAATTTCTCTTTAGCACTTTAATCAGAAAAATAAGAAAGCACTGTTTTGAAATTAACAAAAGACAAGCGACCTAAGAAATGATAGCAGTAAAACAATTTTCTGCAATGCCTATTCATAGCTAAAATATGGGACGGAAATGAAATTACAATTATTTTAAGAACTCAACTTTCAACTTTTAAATAGTATTCTTACACTTAGGGGCTGATATGTAATGTGTGACGCACTTCCTTTCAAAGCTGCTATATCTAAGACTTAGAGACAATCACAGAGAAAGGTACTGGGAAAGTTTAGTTTTGCACACATATATCACTATTAGCATTTTATGTGACAGTGATACTCTGTATATATGATGCCATCATCAGATACATAATAAAGAACATTAATCCCTCACCATATTTATAGTAGATATTGCTCATTTTTATTTATTGTTAAAATTTGGATACTGTTATTTATTTTTTAAAAGATTTAATTCTATATTCCTTTATCACATTTTTCCTGAATGATTTCTTTTAGTACTTTAATATTTCTAAAGCCTTTTCCCCTGCCATGTTCACCAATGTTTTTGAGTATTTTTTTTCATAATTTCATTTTTATGGAATTGCTTAGTCATTAATTTTATGGACTCTAGAGTCATACTACCTACATTTGAAATCCCAATCTTATCATTCATTCAAAAACTATGGAGTCTATATTAAGTGTGAAGCATTGTGCTAGGTGATTAGTATGAATCCACAAACAAAAGATAAGTTCATGCCCTTGCATAAGTTATACTTTAGGGAAGACAAACAAAAAATAATAACTATATCAAATAAATTATAGACAATATTAGGGAGAGATTAAAAGAACAGGGCATGGGGATTAGAATTGCCAGTGAGTCAGACAGTGATGGTGGGTTGTAGTTTCAGAGAAGTTGTCAGGGTAGCCTTCATTAATAGGAGATATCTGAGCAAAACCTGAAAGCTTAGAGAGCTGGCCATGGGGATTAACTGGGGTAGAAGTTTGCCAGGTTGAGGAGTAACTGACCTGATTTATTTTTTAAAGGATTATTCTGGCTTCTTCATTGAGAAGAGAATGTAGAGAAGCAAGATTGGAAGCAGGGAGACCACGTAGGTGACTATGAGAAAAAAACAGGAAATATGGTATGAACCAACTGTCATCTATCAGAATTTTCTAAAATGTTTACATACAAGCTGTAAGAAGATTTAAAGAGATGGCTATGACAGTTTTAGCTTGAGTAACTATGACTCTGAGAAAATAATCTTCTCAGGCAGAGATGATGGAGGGTGGGATGTTTTTATGGAGAAGACTCGGAATTTGCTTGTGGGCATGTTAAGTCTGAGAAGGCTATTAGAACACTTATAAGCTGTGTCACCTTGGACAATATTATTTAACCTCTATACACATTGTTTTTCTTATTTGTAGAAGAATTAAATAATTGTTCCTACCTCATAAGCTTATTATGAGGACCAAAGCATTTTTATATGTAAATCATTTGCAGCACAACACAAAGTATGCAATATGTAAGTTTTCCTCCTTATTAATATTATTACATTTAATTCTAACATGATGGGAATTATTTTAGTATGAATTAGGTGAAGATCTCACATGAACACTGAAGATCTTACTATTTCTTTTGCAAAATAGGGAATCAACACTATTTATTATTACTGGAAAATCATGAATTAATTCTTTCCATACTGATTGATAATGCCACCTTTATTATTAACCAAATTCTTTTCCCAATCTCTCTTTCTGAGCTATCTATTCTGTTCTATTTCTACTTCTATTTTTTTTATGAACTAGCTCCAAAGTGACATTTTTCTCATTCCCTGTCCTTTTAGGAATTGGTCAGTTGCTAATGACCACAACTGGAAGGCTACTGTTGGGCAGTTCCTCCATCAGTTCCTAATGACTAGATGGTTATAGCTAGTGAAAGCCATTATTGTGAGGATGTGATGAGTTAATACCTGTAAAGTGTTTGTAACAGGAATGAGCACATATACATGCTCAATAATGTTAGCTGCTGTAAGCATTATCAGAATCCACCATTGAATGAGACTCTGCTGGCCTGAAAGTTGAATATTTGCTTACTGTCCTACCTCTAGCCTGGCACTCCTTTACATCCAGTCATGGCAGCCTCCTCACCCAAGTATGCAATGCGTATTAGTTCAGCACTTCTGTTTCCACAAGTGACCTGGAGACATTTCACAGCATAGATGTTCACCTTTATTGACTATTCTTTCCCACAAATTCCTGCTTAGTTATGTTATGGAAGTTGCAATCTCTTTTGAGATCTGGGGGGGAAGTAAGTGCCATTGGGGACTTGAGAAAGACATTTGACTGCTTTAAGAAACAGAAATAGTAGACTTTCAGAAGACTGCTTTTCTAATGGATATTAAATATATAGTAATGTGCATGATGCATACTAATTTTGAAAAAGAAAAGAGATAATGAGAGATAATAAGACCTTCCTCCTTATTTCAGGACAAATTTGCACAATTCCTAAAGCAAAGCACTGGCACAACACAAATTTCGCTGTACAACCCATGTTCTGTTATCTTTGAATTTAGTGGAAATACTTCCACATTCTAGTAACAGAGCAACAATTTTTTTTTTTTTTTTACTTCTATGTAATATCAACATTGTTGGAAA